CCTTGGGTTCCTGAGGCTGTAACTCACAACAGGAGGTTAGCAGTGCAATCTCCTATCGTCTATGCCAGCAGAGCTCCCAATGGCACAGTCAACCTGCCTATGCCTTCATTCACTGGCTCTCCCATTATCTCTCGCTAACTAAAAAAATAAAGTAAGTCTGTTTCTCCTCTAGTAGCTTCTGCCTGGAGGAATTTTGTTAGCTAATAGATCTGTCCTAGAAAGAGTGAAACCGGTTTGCTCCTTGGAGGCAAGGATTCTGAAGCTCCAGCTCACATACATTGGACAAGCTGCCAGAAAGGACCAGTCGTTGGAGAAGGACATGATGCTTGGAAGGGTAGAAGGTGAGCCCAGAAGAGGAAGACCCTAGATGACATGGATTGACACAGTGACTGGAGCAATGGCGTCAGGTGTGCTTGAGACAGTGAGGGTGGCTCAGGATAGGGAAAGTTCAGAGTCACTATTCATAGGGTCACTGAGTTGTAGTCAACTTGAAGGCACAAAGCAACAACACAACAATCTGTCAATTCAAGGAGCCCTGGTAGTACGTGGGTTACATGTAGGACTGCTAACTCAAAGGTCAGTGGTTTAAGTGTACCATCTCTGTGAAAGAAAGATGGGTAGTCTCCTCCTATAAAGATTTTACAGCTTCAGAAACTCAGTGGAGGGTCACCATTAGTAAGAACTGCCTTGACCACAGGTTCAAGTCTACCAGCTCCACAGAACAAAGTTGGGCCATCTCTTCACATAAAGATTTACAGCTTGAGAAACTCAATGAAGGGTCACTACTGAGTCAGAATCAACTCTATGACAGACAGGGGTGGGACAGATGGAAAATCTGTCAATCTATATTTCCTTCCATGTCATTTTTTAAAACAAATCTGTATAAATACATAGTGTTCTCATATCGAAATCAGGAAATGGTCATTAATGTAACTTTCTCTATAAATATTAAGGTATTTAGCTCAATGATTCTTAACTGGAGGTCATACATAGCACCCTAACAGCTATCAAGGAAATCCAGGAATGCAATGAATTTATGATGGTCAAAAAGGATAGGGGCACTACGGACATGCAGTGAGTGGAGATTAAAAAAATAAAACCAACCCAAAATCCTCAAACCTCAGACTCATTGCTGTTGAGAACTGACTCATGGTTGACTCTCCAGCAGGTTTCTAAGGCTGTGAATGGACTCATCTTTCTCCCATAAAGTCATTGGTGTATCCCAACCACCAGAGAGGCCCATGTTTGCATCAGCAGTGCACCTCTCTAGGGACAAGGCCACCAGAGCTCCCTGAGTGGAGAGACTGTTGTTGTTCAATGCCTTCGAGTGGGAAGTGACTCATAGCTGACCCTCTTAGGGGTGCTCAGAGGCTTTAAATCGCATTGGAGGAATATTCCTATCTTTCTCCCTTGGAGCAGCTGGTGGATTTGAACGTCCTGTCTTTGTGTTGGTAGTACAACTTCTTTCCACTAGGCCACCAGAGTGGATAGTAGGCAGAGCTATATGTTGAGCATTTGTCAGGTGTCCCACATAATACAAAACTGTCCAGCTTAAACTGGATGAAAAGAAAGACAATACATAATGGGTTGATTAGATGTTGTAGCTAATTAACTGCATGAATTAATGCCAATTAATGTAATAAAAAGGTCTATGAATCACTGTATGAAATGCCACTATGATTTGTAAACCTTCATTAAAAAATCCATTTTAAATAGAAAATATCATTAAAAAAAAAGACATCTAGCTATTCTTCTTAAAGCCACAAGGTGGCAATAAATTCTAAGAAAGTTCTGAAAGATCACTTAATGGTTAAAAGGAAACATTGTTCTTAAATGTTTAAGCAGGAAAAGTTTTATGTTTTGTTTTTACTAAACACAATGGAAAAATACTTTTATTTTGAGACTATGCATGCCAATTATAATTAGTAACAGAGCTTATGAATTACTATTTCCAAATAAAAACTATCAAAATGTCACAAAATTTCTCACATTTGTGCTGGAAACATCAATCTGCAAAAAAAGGAGTATATAAGACAAAGTTTTTATTTCTCAAAAACGTCATCATTTAGAAAGTCCACACTAGTGTCAAGCACAGTATTTCATCTTTGTTCTCTAAAGACACATGATCTAAAAAGCTCTGATGCTAAGTCTAAAGAATTGGGTTAGACATCAAACAAATATTAATAATAACAAGCAGTGACAATATAACAGTCTCATCTTATTGAATGTCTTATAGTTTGTTTTTTTCCCCTCCTTGAGTACCGATGAATCTGATCTGACTGGCACAGGAAGAGATTACCTCTCCTTCTCCAGCAGATCATTTGGTGGATTTGAACGGGTATAAATCAGTTCTTAAGGCAAGTCTAAAATACCGTAAAATTGTTCCAGGGAATTGAAATGAGAACTACTGATATTTCCCAGTATGACATTAAAATAGACCATATTCTGAGATTAAGTTCTGGGATGCTTATTTAAGAAACCAATCATTGTATAGTTTATACCTTCAAACAATAAGCTTGTTTATGCTGAAGGTTTAGTTTACTTATTTGTTGTTCCACAAAATATACTTAAGTATTAAAGCATAAAGTTAATCCTTTTTCCTAGAAGAGACAGCGCATAAGTTCAGAAGCTAAGAACACTGAACTATAACATCAAATTGCCTGAGTTTGAGTTTTAACTCTCCTACTTTGTAGCCTTCAATACAGATTGAAGCTTAACATCAAGAAAACAAAGATTCTCACCATTGGGCCAATTGGCAGCATCATGATAGATGGTGAAAAGATTGAGATTGTTGACAGCTTCAATTTGCTTGGCTCTACAATCAACACTCTTGGTACCAGCAGCCAGGAAATTAAAAGATGAATTGCATTGGGAAAGTCTGCTGTCAGAGACCTCTCCAAAGTACTGAAGAGCAACTGATGTCAGTCTAGAGACTAAGGTATGCCTGATATAGGTCATGGTCTTTGTAATTACTTGCTATGCATCAGAGAGCTGGACAATGACTAGGGAGGAGAGAAGTAGAATAGATGCCTTTGAGCTGTGGTGCTGGAGAATAGTATTGAACATACCATGGACTGCTAGGAGAACAAACAAGTTTGTCCTGAAGAGGGTAAATCCGGGATGCTCTTTGGAGGCAAGGATTCTGAAGCTTCACCTGACATACTTTGGACATGTTGCAAGGTGGGATTGGTGTGTTGGAGATAATAAGATTGACAAAGGATAGAACAGTGTTTAAGGCTGTTGTACAGAGGGTCACTATGAATCTCAGGTGACTTGACAGCACATAACAACAACAACTTCATAGTTATGCAATGTTGGCTTTTCTGCACTTACATTTCCTCATTTGTAATTGCAAGTTATCTCACAGAATTGTTCTTAGGATTTAAAGAGATGACACATAAAGGACAATAGTGACTGGTACATTACAAATAATAAATATTAGTTGTATTTGAGGTTTATCTTTATCATCATCATTATTTAATTTAAACCTGGCAACACCATCTCATATCACAGTATAGAAGACAGTGATCTCCAGAGAAATATCAGTAAGTGTTGCACATTTGCAGGCTCTACATGCAGAAAGATACTGCTTGGGAAAGTGGAGGGATGGTGAAATAGAAGAAACCTTCCACCAGGTGGGCATGACACAGTAACTGCAGCAATGGGCTTGAGTGTGTCAGAGATTATGAGGATGGCACAGAATAGAACAATGTTCAGATTGGTTGTTCACAGGGTTGCTATGAGTCATACGAGACTTGACAGCATCTAACAACAACAACCTATCCTTAGATTAGGCAGGACCATGTGCCTTGTTTTAATCTAAAAAAACACAAGCATAAGAGACATTTGTAACTTCTGGGTTGTGGCATCCAAGATTTTGTGGGCCAGTCCTCTTTTTGGTAAAACACATATTGAGACTGTGGTACCATAAGATGTAGGCAATTTGGATCCTGAGCCAGTGACTGTCATCAGTGACCCATGATGGTTTTGGCACGCAAGAGCATGTTTTTGCTGTGCTAGACCTCTGACATTGTGGAGTTTCTTAATTCAGCTTAGCCTGACAAATGCACTGAGACACTTCATTCTCCTCTTTACACACTACCTGCCAGGCAACAATACAGTTAAAAGAGGTGGGAAAAGAAAATCATGCTCCAGTGTGATGGAAGCCAGAGTGGCATCCACTTCCTAAACAATATGCCTCCAGAAACTCTATGAACTTTGATGAATGTCGATAGTTGTAGAGGGGCTTCAGGCCTTTTGTTCATAGGGTCACTATGAGTCATGCTCGATGGGAAGGCACTCAACAACAACAATGTGATGAAAGTTTCTTAGGATTCTCAAATGCTGGCAATCTTTGGAAAATAGGAGGAAAAAGCAGAATCTCAAGAAAACAGCAAATCTATGTTTCTTATGTAGCTTTAGTTATCCCATCTAGCATCTGGTCTGGCCATGAACATCTTCAAATATAAGATGGAAATATTCAAAGATTAAGTCTTACCTGCGTAACTGAGCATTTTCACTCCTTAGTGGCTGCATGGCCAGTGCTATTTCAACTTGAATATTTGTATATCTACTTATTGCTGGCAGCAAAGCTATGCTTGTCTCCAGTTCTTTAACCAATCTTTCAATTTCCGAATCTCCTATAAAAGGCAGAAGAAATGATTAAAAACAATATTATAAATTGTTTTTTAGATCAAGTTATTAGTGTGTATTATAAAGAAAGATAATCTATAGATATTATTTCCTGTAAGTAAATTCAACTCAATTATTTTCAAGTTCCATTTTCTTCTCTCCTGCTTTATTTACTCAGAAGAGTTCTAAAGGTATTAAGGTCAGTAAATTAGAGATGAACCATAAATCACAGAATTATTAGTTATCCTGTTTGGTTAAAGAGTCCAAAAGGAAGGTAGTTTACTACATACCTACTAGTCCATATTTATCAAGACAATATTGGACTCATTTGTTTACAGGAATGATTAAGGCATTTGACTGCTAAACAAAGGTTGCCAGATGAAACATATCAAGTATTCCGTGAAAGAAAGATGTGGTGGCCTTCAGTCATGGGAACTGTTGGCCCCCTGTTTTTCACGCTCTCTGCTCTATATCATTCCTGGCTGTTTGTCTCTTTATTATAAATTTATTCTATTCTTTGGGACCCTCGGTCTGCAACATTCTGGCGCCCGAACTTGGGACAAGGTGGTGGTTTCTCTTTCTTTCTCCTTTTCGAGCAGACACCAGGAACCGAAAGGGAATTCGCTCAGGGTTTAATGTAATAATAGTACTTAGAGCTCACACAATTTGATAATTTCAGTGAAATATGAAAAGTAAGAGACTGAAGCTAACTTAAGAGAAAAATCTTGATTTGGAAGATGAAGTAAGCAAAGAATAAGTTCTAAAAATTGATAAATTTAAAGGCTGCAGCTGAAAAAATTTTAACATGGATAAAAATCTCTGAACTTTTTAAAAAAATAGACTGCATTTGAAAGATGGCTAGTTTTTCTTTCTTTTTGGTAATCCGGAATGCCAACAATAAAGGGACAACCAATCTTTCACAGCTGCATAGATAGATGAACTAGAAGTTTAGAAGCAGATAAAAGAGAAAATGCAACTTAGTTCTCGGAGTGGATATAAAGAGAAAAGTTATACCCTCTATTGACTACCTGTGAAATCCAAAAGGTTAGACTCTCTTAAATACTAAGAAACAAAGCTGTTTTAAAAAGAACTTTAAATTTGTCGCAAACTTAATGTTACAATTGTGGAAATTAGGACATTTGAAAAGAGACTGTCAGAAAGAAAGAAGGGGGAGTAAAAAATCCAGGCTTTCAGGGCTTTGTAGAAAATGTGGAAAAGGATATCATTGGACTAATGAATGTAGATCTTTATTCGATAAACAAGGTGTTAAGACTGGGTCAGGAAACTTCCGAGGGGGCCTGTCAGCTCGGGGCCCCACAACAAACAATGCGAGCTGCCAGCAGTATCTCACTGTGAGCAAAGACAGTATGTCTCAGACTTGTTTCATGCCACCTTGGGAAGCGCAGCATTAGCTATAGCTCATAAGATAAGATTACTCTTGTACCAGAATTGGGAGTTTATAAGATACCTACTAATATTTTTGGACCCATTCCAGAAAATAGTGTTGGATTAATTATTGGAAGTAGTTTAACCAGTAAGGGTATCTTTGTTCATCTGGGAATTATTGATTCTGATTATGAAGGAGAAATAAGTATAATGGTATCTACTAGACAGCCTCAGAATCTACAAAAAGGTCAAAGAATCGCTCAGTTATTGTTGCTACCATATATTAAACAAAAGGCTGCTCCTATAAAGAGACAAGGAGGTTTTGGCAGTACAGGATCAAATATATATTGGAATACCATTATTAATGATGAAAAACCACAAATGATTGTTACCATTGAAGGACATAAATTACAAGGCTTGGTTGATACTGGGGCTGACGTTTCAATTGTGGCTACTCATCACTGGCCTCCGAACTAGTATTAAAAGATGTGTCTGTTACGTTTACTGGGATTGGTACTATGACTGGAGTGAAACAGAGTGAACATGTTTTAGAATGTGAAGGACCAGAAGGTCAAAAGGGTAAATTACAACCTTTTGTAGCTGATATTGCCATTACTTTATGGGGCCGAGATTTATTAGCTCAGTGGGGAGCTACATTACAAATTCCAACTATTTCAACTCCAGCAAAAAATATGATGTTAAATATGAACTATATCCCAGGAAAAGGGTTAGGAAAAAGGAAACAAGGAGTTGCTAGTTTTCAAGAACCTAAATTTAATCAATCACAGAAAGGATTAGGATATCCAAATTTATAATGAGGGCCACTGTTCATTATGCTCTTCTCTTAACTCAGCTAACAGAAAAACTAATTTGGGTGGAGCAGTGGCCCCTATCTAGAGAGAAATTAGAAATTTTAGAAAGATTAGTTCAAGAACAATAACTAGCTGGTCATATAGAAGAAACTACTAGCCCTTGGAATTCTCCAGTGTTTGTTATAAAAAAGAAATCGGGTAACTGGAGAATGATAACTGATTTAAGAAAAATTAATGAAGTAATTCAGCCTATGGGTGCTTTACAATATGGACTGCCTCTTCCCTCTATGATACCTGAGGGATGTCCAATTATTGTTATTGATCTTAAAGACTGTTTTTTTACTATTCCACTGCAACCTAAAGACAGAAAAATTTGCCTTTACTGTTCCTGCTAAACCAGGCAGCCAGAGACGGGTAAGAGACACTGGCCCCTGTTTCAACCTAAGACAGGCGCCCCGCCATAGTTGCTGGGTTAGCCCATGACGGGTAAGATCAGTAGGTGCGGTGTCCAACCTAAGACAGACGCTGGCTTCATACCTGGTCAAACAGGAGAGCACCAAGGATTTTCTTTATCGGCCATTTGCAGTCTTTGATAATGGACTTGTATGGGACGGGAGGCTATGGATAGGACCTGCTGCTTTTAGGCCATAATTGATTGAATCTACATTCTTTTGCTTTAAATTTTTTGTCACAGGAGAAAAATCAGAGTATGTAATCCAACATTTAATTGAAACTTTTAATGTGATGGGCCTTCCATCAAGTATTAAAACCGATAATGCTCCTGCTTATAATTCTAAGAAAACACAAGAGTTTCTTAAAAGATGGAATATTAATCACATTACTGGTATTCCATATAATCCCCAAGGACAAGCTATAATAGAAAGAGCTAATTTAACATTACAAACTATGTTGAAAAAACAGAAGGGGGGAGATACAATGGGACGAATATCATCTCCTTGAACTCTCTTACAAAAAGCCTTATTTACTTTAAGTTTTTTAAATGCTAATGAAAAAAGAGAAACTCCAGCTGAAAGACACTGGGTATTACAATCCTCTAAAAAATTGAATCAGCCTATATATTATAAGAAACCTCTAACTAATGAATGGAAAAAGGGATTTGTTATTAGGTGGGGGCGAGGATTTGCTTTTATCTCTACAGGATCAGAACTGCTGTGGGTGCCCTCCAGAAACGTGAAACCCCGAGATGAGTCAAAAGAGGCCACACTTTGACGAGGACGAAGCTGCAGAATGGCAGATGGAGGAGTGACAGGGAATGGCAAAGGATGCATGGACAAAGGAGATTAATCAGAACTGGCTTTGATGGGGACTATGGCAATATGACAATGGAAGCTGATCCTCAAGGAATGCTGCTTTATTGGAAGTGTTTTTGTGAACTTATTTTGTTTTCTCATATTTGCTTTCTTATAGTTGTTTGATTATATATAAAGGATTAAGAGACAAGCAAGAATGAATCCTGAAGAAGAAAAATTATACTCATCTTGACAATCACAAAATTATGATTTAAACAAAAGAGGGGGAAATGAGGGAAGCCGAGTATCAAAATTAATAATAGTAGACCAAATGCTGTATCAGGAAATGAGGGAGGCTTAATACAAGCTGAAGGTCACCTTGTGACACTAGGGCATTCCTTAGGAGTCAACATTGTTCTTAGTTTTTATCAAAGAACCCCTCCCTCTTGAGATTAACAAAGAGGAACTTGGCCTTATCTGTAAAAGATTTCATCATTATCCTTTGTTTTGTACTTCCTTGTTTTTCTGTATAAATACTCAGAGAAGCATGGCTCGGGGCCTTCAGTCATGGGAACCGTTGGCCCCGTTTTTCACGCTGTCTGCTCTATATAAAAAAAAAAAAAAGATGTGGCAAACTACTTCTGTAAATATCTGCAGTCTTGGAAACCCAAAGGCCAGTTCTATTCTGTCTTTTAGGGTTCCTAGGGATTGGAATCAACTCAGTGGAGTTACAATTGTTTGCAATAAACACAACCTTTGATTCTGCATAGAATAATTTGCCTTGTGGTGGTGTGTGCCAGTGAGTCAGAACTGATCCACTGCTGACCATCCAGCAGTTTTTCAGAGACAATAAATCACAAGGGAGGTGACTGCCCATCTTTCTCATGCAGAGCAGCTAGTGGATGTGAACTGTGTGCCTTTGGGATTGCAGCTCATCTTCTTACCTCTAGGCCCTACGTGACTTATTTGGCAAGATAGTGATTGAGAGTCTGCTAAAATTAGGCTTCACGATTTACTTTTATAGTATCAGATTTAATGCAAGTTACACCTCAGGTGACATGACACCAAAGACAATACCATTCCTGCTATTACAGGTGTGAGGAGTGAATGTTTTCAGAGGTGGCAGATACAGGTAGAAGGCAGGCACTAGATCTCTTGCCCTTTTTTAATTGTTGTTGTTCCCTTATCTTTGTAAATTATTTGTGAATTGAAAACATTTAAGAATTGTAATATTAACTATGTAACAGAGCTATTGCACATAGGGTCACTATAAGTCACAGGTGACTCGATGCATGTAACAAAAACATCCAGAAGAAACAGAAAGTACATTCTAAGTTTTAAAAAAACTCAATTATGTAAAGTATTAGAACACACTGACTTTTTTTTAAAAAAAATGAACACAGGTGACAACTACACCAGATTACTGAGCAATCCTCTACCCGCACTGCAGAGAGAGCTCGGACCACCAACACTTTCTGACAATATAATGTCGGTCAAATTACTTAACGCTTTAAAATGCTGTTGTTTAAAATGTACAATATCTAGTTAATAAGTTTTTATATTGGTTAGGGGTTGAAATGCTAAAGATACACTGAGATATATATAAATATAAATACATTCTTAAGAATTATTTAACTCTTCTTGTGCTGCCAACCCAAAGGCCTGTAATCCGAATCTACCTACTACTCCGCAGGTGGAAAGTGAGCAATCTTTTCTCCTATGATTTAAAGCCTCTGAAAACCCACTGGAGGGTCAGCTATGAGTCAGTTTTGACTAGATAGTGCATAACAACAAGTTCTTGTCTGGGATTTCTCATGGTTAAAAGAATAAAATAACAATGCTGCAATATGTGACTGTTAAGATTGAATGACATGATATTTCTAGGCCTCAGTTTCCTCATTTGTAAGATGGAGCTAATACTGCAGAAGGTTGATGCAAGGATTTAGCACCTCACCAAGCACATAGGAGAGGTCAATAAATAACAGCCATCATTGTTCCCACTATTGTTATTGTTGCCACAATGAAGCATTTCCTGAAGAGGATGTTATCAAAGGCCAGAAAAGGCAACAATATTGACACATTAAAGATCTGGACTAATAGTGTGGTTTTTATATAGCTTTATGTGAATTTGGTAATTCTGGGGGTCAATCAGCAAATATTCAACAAATGCTTCCAAAATCATTTACTTTACCAAGATCACAAGTCTGTAACACTCTGAGGGGAAAAAAAACCCATTACTTTAGAAAATATATATAAAATGAAAATAAGTAAAAGGTGCTTCAAATAGAAAGGGTTTGTGTTTTTTGGTTTGTTTTTTTTTAATTTAAAAGTCGTAAAAGCAAACTGAAAAGAGCATGAAAAGATTTGGCTACTTCTCAAAGTCAGATTTGTTAAAACAAAGTAACAGTTATT